GCTCACATGTACAGCTGTGAACTTGCGACCATCGATCGCGAAGTCCTCTCTTCCCTGCCAGAGCTTCTCCGCTTGTCACTGTGCATTGCGGAGGAAGGAAACAGTCACCGGGATCTCCTCAGCACTCGCTATCTCGGGTCTATACGGAGCCTTCCACATGATTGCTTTACTCTCTTGCACTGAGTCTACGATCAGTCCGATCTCTTCGAATTTCTTCTTCAGCTTCTCTTCATGGTTGACATACACCGAGGAGATGCCCAGGAGAGTCATGGAGATGAAGGGAGTCACCTCGTTGCCTGCTGAGGCGGTGTATGTCTCGACCTTCTCCTTCTTGGCTTCTTCAATCTGCTGCATAAACCACTCTCTGGATGCGTCACTCCATCCAGTCATCGCTTCTTGAAGAGTCGGAAGCTCACGTCGTGCCTGCTGACATGTCGAGCGGATGGCTTCTGCGATAGCGTCGGGGGTGCATCCCTCCACAGCCTTGCAAGCCTGGGCTGTCCTGCTGTTCGGATAACGCTTCGCGAAGCTCTTCACTCTCTCGACGAGATCAGCTTCGAGGACAGAGGCATCCACAAGTCCACTCTGCGTGTATTGGCATGATCTCCGATACAGCAGGTTGCGAACATTTTCATCATACTGAAGAACCATACTTACAAAGCTATTTGACGTATACAAACCTCTTGCTTGCAGCTTCCATGGCGCCCTGGCGGCTTCCCCTACACTGACGAGGAGCCATGCTGCCGAAAATAACGGCGCCTGCCGAAAATAACGGCGCCTCTAAACCCTAAACCCTAAACCCTAAACCCTAAACCCTAAACCCTAAACCCTAAACCCTATTATTATTATTATTATTATTATTATTATTATGTGAGTTTATTAGAATGCTAGAATGTTGCTCGGCCTCGTTGTGGGCTTATGCAATTTGATCCTAGTCTAAAGAGGCGCTCGAGCACTGGGAGTACACGGCCTACAATGCAAACCCTGCTTCTGAGGCGTCTTTCTACTCTCTACTTCTGCTGTCTTCTCTTGGCTTCCTCAGCCTCAGTCAGGAGAGTTGCCTCTCCTCACCTTGGCCTTCGGTCGCCACCTACTCTACCTCCATTCAGCTTCCTCAGCCTCAGTCAGAAGAGTTGCCTCTCCTCACCTTGGCCTTCGGTCGCCACCTACGGAGTCCTCCTCCATTCAGCTTCCTCAGCCTCAGTCAGGAGAGTTGCCTCTCCTCACCTTGGCCTTCGGTCGCCTCCACCTTCTCTCCTTACCTTGAGCTCAGCTCAAGCTCGGTACGGGCTCGCCCCGTCTTCTTCCTCGCCCTCGCCTTGCTCTTCCTCCATGTCTTCCTCTTCTTCGTCATCTTCCCTCATCTCCACCCGCAGTCGGTCCTTCTTGTCCACCTTCAGCGAGCAGGCCAGCACATGCATCTCTGCGAATTTACTCAGTGCTATGAACAGGAAGCTAAGAGATCGACGCTCTATGTCGTCGCTCTCCGCCTCCTGCTCAAGCTCAGCAGCTGCCGTTGCCCGTGGCGAGAACGCGCTGCCCCTCCTTGCCTTCTTGCTCTCTCCTTGCACGCGAGTCCAGCGCTTGCTCTGCAGCCACTTCCCCAGCTTCTCCTTGAGAACGTTGCGCCCAACTCCCTGCTCCTCTGGCATCTTCGCCCACTCTCCCAGCGACATGAACTCCAGGCTCCCCGGAGAGTAGAACGTGTCGTGGAGGTTGCCAACGGCCTTGTCCAGGACCAGCTTGATCGGCTCGCTCGTCCCTGCCTCGTTCAAAGAAGCTGCATCTTCGATGACTGCTGACAGCTCGCTGACGAGCTGCATGTCCTCTTGGCTTGACGGAGATGCTGCCTCCATTGTGATCCTCTCCAGGTCTGTAAACTCCAGCCACTCTCCCTCGCTCTCCTCCTGTCGCTGCGCCCCTAAACTTAGTAAACCCTAGAGTACACGGCCTAAAAATACTAACCGGGCCTATTATTATTATTATTATTTGAGTTTATTAGACTCTTAGTCGAGAATTTCATAGCTAAGAACTATTGCTCTTTGCTCATCTTTCGCCTAATGATCTGTCTAAAGGGGTTCCCAACCTTGGGAGGTTGGCCCATTGTCCTATAGGCCCCTTGGGCCTGGGTGCTTCCGTATTAGATATTTTCAGTGACGATGTCAACCGGGCCTAAACCCTACACCGTAATACCCTAAACCCCACAAAATAATCCCCACAACCTACCCCACAACCTAAACCCAACAACCTAAACCCTCCCTGAAATGATGAGTTGTTTGTCGGCAATGCTACATTAGCAATGCAACGTTCATCACATATCGTGTTTCTGCTTATCCATTTGCTCAGTGGGACTTGTTTATCATCATCACCACCACCAACTCCTCCTCCTCATCATCCTCCTCCCCCACCACAAGCATCATCAAATTTATCGTCATGTTTTCCTGAGGTTGTCATCCTAGAGCCAAGGCAACTTCAACGATTCAAATTGAGCAACGCGGTACGACTGCGTGCTTCTGTCATACATGCGAATTGTTCTTCACAATCATTCAATCCCGGTTCATGGGCGTTGTCTTTGTCCCTCGATGACGAAGACAGTTTGATTCATGAAGGCCTCGAACTGGACGGGCTACTTCCATCGTTGCATCCTGGACCCCACTCTCTCACTGTTTCCTTGGTCGATGTAGAACAACATGGTGTGGCTATTGGGCCAAGAGCACGTGTCACAGTCTTTGTGGGCGAATACATGGAGCCAGAAGTTGAAATTATTCATCCACGTGCACAAATCATTCAAAGGGATGCACAATCCGAGTCCATGGCCATACAAGTTCGTGCTAGGAACAAGGCAAAAAATATCATGCTTTTCATGGTATGGTTTGATGGAATAGCACTGCATGGAGATCAGTCCATCGTAGTAGACAGAGATCTCTGGGAATGGCATAGGAACATTTCTGGGTTGAATGACGGCCTGCACACGATGGATGTACATCTTGTTGACAATGCGGGTGAGATTATTTCCAAAGATCGCAGATATTTTCAAATGCTCACCACTGATCCATTGCAATCAAACCAAGGTTATAGATTATTTCCTAGTGGGTGCATTTACATGGTCTTTAGGATTCACTTTCGCTGAGGATCACGATGGTTGCTGTACAGCTTTGCCGCAGGGCAAGCAATTTATTGCGGAAAACATACCAGAGGGTGTGAAAGAATTTTCACGCACCGAGAATTATGCAGATGAGGTAACAATTCTCAAGATCGCAGTCTCTTTTATCTGATAGATGCTTCCCTAACTGCAAGATCGATATGCAATCGGTTCTGAACAGCTTCTGTAACTTGTACGAGGAAATGTTGAGCTCGCAACCCGCAACTGTCTCGAGAAATCGATTTCTCGTGCTAGAAGTCGGATCAATCCCTCTTGGAAACAGACTGCAGGTAGACTGATGCAGCTCAGATTGAAAGTGATTTGTAATGCAGTTTGTGGCGAGTGGAGCCTTAATTGCATTACTGACTCACAGGGTGCTACTGATTGAGATGGGAGATCTTTCAATGCATTTCAAAGAATCAGCACAGATTGAAAGGTAATCGATCCGTCTGTCTGTTTGTTTTCTCAAGAATTCTTGACAGTTGTCGCTGGAACTACAACACAATGACAAATATATCACATATAATCGCTGATTCTGTACACGAGAACACCGAAGGGATACTTCAGTGTTTGACGCACGATATCTCTTGCTCAAGCAGCCTTTCGTTCTCATCGCTGAAAACAAAAGCTGCTGTTCCGATGGCATGGGTTGAGCTGCTGACTTGCTCTGACCTGTCCAATTGGCTGCTTGATGCAAGCGTCATCACGATGCAGGTGACAATCCGAGAATCCTTTCTGTTACTAATCTCTTTTCAGAGCAATCAGAATCTGGTCCCTTTTCTTTATTCTAACCCTTATCATCGTAGTTTCTTGGTGGCTACTTTTGGACAGGTCTGGTGCTTGCTGGAATTCAAAACCCTTATCGGATTCCCAGGACGCTATTGGATCAATTCTGAGATTCTTGATGGTGCCAGCCCCGCACGTTAGGGCTCGTCTTGATCAAATACTTGCTTCTGCTTCTTTTTTGGGGGCCCCCCCCCCCCCCCCCCCTCCCCCCAGGGTGCATTCACAAGGTGACTCCGTGTAGGCTCGTTCCTCATAGGCCTGCAACTGCGTAGGCGATACGGCACCGCTTCTGATCGCTGTGCATACAAAATTTCAGTTCAAAGCGAGGAAGGTTTACGAAGGTGAAGCAGCCCTTTGATGCCATTCTGAATTGTGATGGCTATTCTTTACAGGGAGAAGACATTTTCTCACTACTCTGACACCTCAGAAGCTCTTCTTCTAGAGTGTGCGGCATCCATTGCAAGGTCAAACATCCTCTTGTCCAACGTCCTGTCCCCTCGCTGCCTCGCCTTACGACTTGCAGGCACGCGCGTGGACCCAAGATGTTCTATGTGAGCACAGACACGCCCGAGGAGGTTGGAGAGCTGGTCAGTGAGCGACTTGGATGGAGAAACATCCTGGATAAGGGAGAAGCCTTTTATTCAGACTCTGTCGGACAGGTTCGTGAAGGAGAAATGGAGGGTAAGAGGAGCTTTGATGAGAAAGTTCTAGGGAGTACAAGATCGACGTTTAGTGCATGAGATGCTTGCTGGAGGGGTTGGAGACTATCGGACAAGTGATGCTGCTGGGCTGCGAGCAGTACTGGACATGTGGATGCTCGCGTCTTCCGATGACCTCGTGCGTTTTCCATAACCTCTCCTCTTGTTCATGTGATTTAGGTGATCACTCCTTCCTCTACTTATGGCATGATGGGCGCCGCTCTTAACGGCAAGTCGAACTCTTCGTTCGACTTCAGGCGATCGGGCCCCGTCTATCCTTCAAAATATGGAAAGTGTGTACGCGCCATCTCGAAGCAAGTAGGCGACATGATCACGCAATCGACATGACTGACTTAACTCCTCCAGCCCGTCTGTCATTCCTGGCTTCGCATTCGCCGAGCTTCCTGCTTCAATCCAGCCATGCTCGCTCCTGAGTTTGACATGATCTGTCCCGAGTGCACTCTGTGATACTGTTTGGCCGGAGGTCCGTCTCTCATCAAGTCGCAGGTGGTCTTGTCCTTGCGATGGCGCAAACCCGTGTGCCTCCCATACGGACAAGGATAACGCGCTGGAAGCTCCGCGATACACTGAGCACCTTCCTCTTTGACGAGTCAGTCGGCTGAAGGCTCTTGTCATGATCTCCCCTGCCCTCCTGCCATCGCCCGTCTCACGCTGGAGCTCTAGAAACCTGGCATGCTACTGTCTCTCTGTAGAGGCTCCACCGCAATCTCTCGTCGAGATCTCGAGAGATGCTCTCTGCTTCCTGCGCCGCAGTCATGCACAGCAGAGCTTGTGGTGTGTAGACCTTGACAAAGGCTTCCTGAAAGCGAGGAACCGACTGTGTGCCCACCTGAATCATGAAATCTGCCGCAGAGACAGCAAAGAGCTCCATGTCAGTCTGCAAGGGTTGTGAGTCAAGAGCAACGTGATAAGTATGAAGGTTGACAGATGGAGTGCAAGTGAGGAAACGACAATTCACCAGAGCAAGAATGGTGAATGCTGATCCTTCTGCCGTGGTTGCCTGTGTGATGTCACTCATTACAGTCAATCCGTTCATCAACCTCAAGCGAAAGCAGGTGAGGGGCTTCTTGCTCGACGATTGGCATTCCGAGCCTCCTTTTAGCCGATGAGTGAAGCACCATGAATGATCGATGAAGCGAGGAAAAAGTATTCACTCTAGGAAACAAGGACAAAAAGGAAACCTGAGGTTCTCGTTTGCATAGGGCTCTTCAAATAGCCTTGCTCGGAACTGATGAGCATCCAAGATTTTCAATGAACGCGCAATCTCTTCTTCTTTTCTTCGCGGATCTTTCTCAGCCTCTTCAATGCTGTTCAGGATCTACTTGATGGTCAGACATTGAACCAAAAACTCAACAAGCAGCGAAATCAAAATGAGATGAGTGAGCGAAGTCGACAAATCCATTGACAAGAGTAAACTACCTTATCCAACTTGTTGACGGCTCGAGTAATGATAGTCTTGTGCTCGGTAACGATAGCAGGCATTGGCTTCCTGATAAGCCTGCATGGGAGGCGATTGGAAAACAAAACAGCGATTGCCAGTAACCTCCATCGACCGGAAGCCACGAAAAACACTTCCTATCGAAACACAGTTACACGATAGGATGAAGCGACTACACTAGATCTCACCATGCATACTCTTCCCTGTGATGTGATCGTGTCGCCCTTGCTCACCTGCAAGTTCTTAGTTCTCTTCTTCCAACACAATTTTGTCCTGCCTTCCTTGGAGCTTGTAAAACACGCCCAAGCTTTTCCAGCACAGAGCTTTCAAAGGATTCAGGATCCTACAGAAAGAAGGTAGAGGAGTCGCACGATGGAAATTCAAGTTGCAGGCGCTTGAGGATGGGGCGGATGAGTTCAACCTGTTCCCTGACACGTGCATGCGCGCATTTCTAGTAAAAATGTCAGACACAAAAATGCCGGAGATATCTCTGTGCCTGCAAACACAATTCCAGGTCCTGCAAGCTCGTTCAAATATGAGAAGAGTACGCTCAAAGCAGTGTGGATATGCCTGACTGTGAAGAACAAGCAGGGCCACAGCGCTGGAGGAAGAGACAGTAATTGTGCAGCAGGAGGCTTGTGCTCGAACAGCCTGATCATACAATCAAGAAAGCTTTGCTCTTGCTCGGAATTGTAACCTGCATGTCTCCATCCATGACAAAGTCGCTTCTGGAATGAGTTTCAAGATATGGAGCAAATGCATCAATCTAATACCTCCCCTTCTTCAGAGTCAGCGATGTTGTCTCGTGACACTTCGAGCACTGAGTTCCCATGAGCTCTTCAATATCTTCCTGCTTCTGCTCCTCCCGATGCGGCTCGTGTGAGACCAGCACTTCTCCTGCAGGCTGTTGGCTCCCACCACAAGTTTCTCGGCCTCACCCCACAGAAGGAAAAAAAGCCTTCGATTCCCTCGATGTCCTTGGCGTGAAATGCATGTGCCAGGTGGAGCCCAGCGAAATCGAACGGCTGAAATAAATGAGCAGAAACCCCGACAGGCTGTGCAAGTTACCTTTGCAAATTTCGTATAGGACGTACGTGGGAAATTGTTGAAAGAAGGAGCAGCGAGACAAGACCTCAAGAACCTGAGAATTCCAACACGTTCAGGATCAAACGAACCAAGTGAAGGGTGCATGAAAAAAAGCAAGAGGCGCCGTCACTCAACAGATAGATCAAGGGAACTGAAAGAAAGTGACTGAAGAGCAAAGAGGAAAACAAACCTTGTTAATTGAGTCTCTCCTTTTCACTGGTGATGAACAAATCTTCTTCAGTTGAACGATCTCGCAGACGCAAGACACTGCGAAGCACCACCTGGAAAGAAGCTGTGAGTACAGATAGAGTGGGGCAAAAAACAATCAAAATGTCAACTGGTTGAAACTCAATTGCAGAACGAGACAGGAGAACAAAAGAAATACGATTCTCCAAAAGGTCTTAACCTCGTTTTTGCTGCATTTCTTTCCCGTTGACGAAGCTGACTATTTGTCTCATCTTCATCATCTTCTGCAAAGTATTTGACCCTTGCACATCAAAACGTTATCTTGAAACCAATCATTTTGTGCAAAGACATACTGAAATATGTTTTTCTCTTTCTTGGCGCTCTCTTCCCCTCTGGCCACCAACTCTGACAATTTGTTGTAACATTCTATACTCTGAGCAAAATCTCCATTGCGTCTGAGGGAAAACAAAATTGTGAGGAAAACAACTCAGGAATGACTGTTCATGGAAGAGAAGTAGGATACCTGCAAGCAAGTGCTTTGCTCCTCAAGGCCTTGATATGTTCAGGGTTAAGCCGCAGCACCTGACCGCATTTAACTCGATCTTGCTTCTCAAACATCTCAGCAGAGCTGTGAACCCCTGACCTCATCCAAGACTACGATGGCCTCTGTGTATCGCTTTCCCTTGAAGAGATTCAGCCCGGCATTGAACAGCAGGTTCACGTTGTCGTCATTGTTCGTTCTGTTCGCCAACACAGTCTCCTTCCTCCCTTCAAGCGCATCCAAATAGCACTGCTGACGTCAGTTACCTCTCATCTCTGTCTCCTGACAAGCACCTGAGCTGCTCGAATTGGCTCGCCGATTTTGTCGAGTACGCCTAAGGAAAGTTCATCTGCACCTGCCATGCAATCTCTAACTTGCCTCCGATCTGCATAAAAGCTTCGTGCTTGATCTCAGGTCGCAATGGTTTTCTAGCCTCACAGATAGCAGCCTTGCACATAGAACAAAGTCAGAATCAGATGGTAAGGCGATGCTTAAGAATGAAATTTGTCTCCTGCAAAGAAAACGGCAATGACACAGCATTGAGCATAAGTGCAAAAAGTTTCAAGGATCCCATTTTTGTTGTGATCGAAGACAATACAAGAAAAGGAGTGGTCCTTCCAGTCTAGTGTGATACGGTGATGAAGAAAGTTGTGATGGATTATATGTATTGAGGAGCTCAATTACAATTGCTTCTATTGCAGGTTGAGCTTACAAAGAGTGTTGTTGTTTTGTTTGTGAATTCAAAAAACTGCTGATGTGTGGAAGAGTTTGGTGGTGACAAAGGGGTAGACCTTTCGGAACATTCCCAAAGTCTGGGCGATCCCGTCGGAATCTTGGCGTTTGCTGTGATATTCAAGGAACATAGAAAGTACATCAAAACACATGGTAAGTGTGAAAAACAAATGAAGAGACATTGCAAACAAGATACAAGAAACAAGCAATGCTAAAACGAGGGACTTTAAAGGCAAGAGATTGGTCATGACGTAACATACAAAGCGAACACGGGATCATTGGAGTAAGAATGCCGCAGGGATGAAAATGTCAAACCTCAGCTTCAAGCCTTCCTTGAAGTAGTAGATCGAATTTTTCCCCAAACACTGTAGACACTGGTAGGCCGTAGGGCTGTTAGGAATACGCAACAGCAATGAGACGTTTCCTTTTGACCTTCCTTGCTCGTCCTTGACACTCTTCAGCATCTTCGACTATTGCGACCTGCAGGGAGTTAGCAGCAACTGCTGCGCTACTCTCAACCTTCATGTGGTCTTCAAGCGCCTCTCTGACATCATGTATCATCGTCAAGGATGGCAAAATTGCTACGTTCGCACCCTTTGAAAATCTTTTTTCTAGCGATGAGATTCTTGGGCACCTATTTCCAAGTAAGCATGATCCTGCAACTTTTTGTCCGAGACCAGCACGTCCAGCCGCTGCTCCATGCGACTGTCTTCCCACCTCCGTGAAGCTGGCAATTTTTGAGGGATCTGTAGATAGAAAAGTGGGGAAAAGCAGGACACAATAATGGATTTAGGGTTTAGGTTCACAACATGAGATGCATATGAAAATGAGATGGAGTGGAATATTGTTGTATACAACACCGTCAGGATACAACAAATATCATCGTCAGTTTCTTTGCAGAGTGGAAATTGGAGGTTTCCTTGCACGATGATGCCTCATGCCTTATCGGTTCCAGTGCAGAAGCTGGTCGCCGATGTGCAAGCAGAGCCTGTTTCTCCATACTTCCTGGAAGCGGGTTGAGAGTGACACAAGGAGAAACCGCACAGAGCAACCAGGGGGAGCATGGGCAAATTTGAAGTACAAAGAGGATCTAAGTCAACGAACAAGAATCAGATTCAAGCATAAAAAGACGCTAGTTCACCGTCGTGTTCGTTGTTGGGTAGGCTTGCTGCTGCGACCAGTCACGCATGTGACATGAACAGGATATGGTTCACCTGGTTTCTTCTACTTCACTTTCCATGGTGTTATTCTTCTTAAGGGATGCTACAAGCTCCAACTTTCCCATGCAAGACATGCCCTTGCTTTCGAACATTGCAAACGGGTCGTAATCAGCGAGTGATCGAAGATCATGCCATATGCTCCGATCCAGAAGATCATCTGCTGTTTGATCAGGTTGTTGCAAGACAAGCTAGTGAAACGCAAAATGAAAAACAAAAAAGCATATCAAATGTAGGAGCACAACGTACCATTGATATTGATAAGAACGGCAGATATGGCTTGTTCTGTGCTCGCAGCAACGTACCCACACTCAACGAAGATGTGGTTGGTACTTCCTGTATAAGACAGAGATGAATCAAAAAATTCTTGCTTTGGGTGAGCATGACATGAGTTGAGCTCACCATCAGATTGTAACTCAAAGTGAAAACTTTCATTGAAGGTGAAGACGGGATTGATCCATGACGCCTTAATTCGCATTTTCATGGTTTGCTGCTTCTCTCCTACTCCTACCCTCACGTAAACATGCGACACAGTTGTCGGACCTCTGGGAGGGGCAGGTAATTCACGCAGACGCTTGACGTTCAAATACAAGATAGAACAATCTGATCCAAGAGGTAGATTGTTGCTGGAACGCTTGAAGAAATTGTTGTTCTCCCCAACGATTTGTTTCAAAGGGTTTAAGGCATCTTCCATACGCATCTCAAAGGGCAAAGAGACAGAAACGACAACACCATCTATCGAATGCTTGCCCTTTCCTTCCTGTTGCTTCAGTGCTCTTTGAGTTCCTTCAGGCCGTCGAAATCGAATCGAACCATTCCGACCACTTCTCGCTATCGTAACCTCTTGGACTTCTCCTGCTATCGATTGGAAGTAGGATCGTATCTGCTCTAATGCAAGCCTGCCACCGCCATATCCGACGTGTTGGGTGACTTGACTGCCATCGGAACTGCCGGGAGGGAGGAAGAGGAGGAGGAGGAGGGGCTGGGGTGCTTTCATCCCCTCCATGACTCTATCAATCAAACTGTTCGCCTTGACCCAAAAAAAGAAGGCACTGCGAGACATCGACGGGGGGTGGGGTCATAATTACGCATCCACCGGTCCTAGATATGGTGATGAACGAGGGGGTAGGGTCAAAAACGAGAGAAGCACTCGGGATGGCAGACGCCGACCTCACAGGCAAGGAGTGAGAGAATGGGGATGATGAGATGAGAGCGGCGTGATGACGATGATCAAGAAGATGAAAACTAAACAGAACGAGCGATGATAACCAGAATCGCATAAGATAGTGATAGGGTTGGAATAGAGAAAATGAAAAGCAAGGAGATCAGAACGCACAGCAAGAGATAGTTTTCTTGATGAAAGAACAGTGATCACATCACATATTATTTCACCGTATTCCACTCCTTGTCGTCATTTGATTTCAAATTTGTTCTCACAACTCTCTCACTCGGATCTTCGGACTCTGATTTCCTCCGAAGAGAACTCACGCACGTGTAAAAACTTTTGTGTTATGCTCCATCCATTTCAGTTTGCTCCCTTATTGCCATACGCGACCATAGGTAGTTCTCACTAAGAAAGAGACAGCGAGAAATTATGATCGCGGCAGGAGCCATTCAGTGAAAGGGAAGTAAAAGCAGAGGAAGGGGCCAAGGCAAACATATTTCCCTTGTACTCTTGAAAAACATCACGATGTACAGCATTGTCCATCCATCAACATATTGCTTTCTATGTTTGACTTGTAAAAAACGGTGTATTGAGTGATTTGTTTGGATAACTTGGTCACCTCAGTCGAAGAAGCTCGGTTGAAGCGGATGCGTCGCCCTGATCTTGTGCTGCCCCAAGGGCTTGCTATGCTTGAAAAGTTGTACATTCCTTGCCTAATGACCTTGAGCTGACCGTTCTGAAAGACAACGAGCAAGTTTGGGCAATAGTCAATGGGAAATACGAGAGCAAGTTTTTATGGCTGCTCTGGACCTGTCAGTATTTCAACTAAACCGAAAGAAGGGGCTGACTGATCATTCATAGACATAAATTCGAAATTGCAAGGAAACAATTCGAAGTAGTTGTCTGCCTTTCGTCTCATTCACTTACAAGCCCTATTTCAGCTTCTGGAACAAAGATTTCCCACCAGTCTGCGTGTGCGTGCACTGGAAGGAATGATCTTCGAGGTATGTACTGTTTTAATTTCAAAAGCGAACTTCTTGCAAGAACAATATTTTGAATTCCATAAGTCGTTCTCTGAAAAGAGGCTTCATTTTCAAAGCCTTTACATTTTTTCTTAGGCACAGGCACATCACAGCGGATTGACATCAGAACAATCCTCTAAGTTGGCAGGTCTGTTTGCATCTGGTGTTTTGATGCTGTCAGTGCTGTTTTGTTTGCTTGTGATTAGGATTTCTCAGATTTTTTCAATTGATTGCGATCACTTTTTTTGGTTCAAATGATTGGATTCAACAGGAAGGGCAATGGAAATTTACACAGAAATCGTACTAGCTTTATGTCATGAGCTTAATGTTGTTTGTGCTTACACCTCGCAAAGCTTGATGAAGATCCTTTCAACGTATTCGCGAGGAAGCGGAAGGTAGTCTTCATCTGGGCTATCTTCATATAAGTCTACTCCGCAGATTGCACTTCACCGTGGACAAGGAACTGCCGAAGCCATCGCGTTGGCGATCGGGTTTGTCTTATTGATATTTTTCCTTGGTTCACAATTTTTTCAGGCAGCTCAATGCGTATCTAGAAATGTATCCAACTGACGCTGAAGCCTGGAAGGTGCAACATGTTTCATGGCTTGTTCGTTAGATGGCCTCCTGTAACCTTGGTACAGGAGCTTGCCGACGTCTATCTTGAAATGCAGCAGCTGGTCAACCCCGTGCCTTGATCATGGAAAAGCGATCGATCTGAAGTTCACATGCAGGAGAATGCCAGAAAGGCACTAGAAGAGGTTCTTATCCTTGCGCCAGTGAGTTATTGATGCGATGAAATAACAAACTGACGAGGGGATGTATTGACAGATGTCCTACTTGTCGCACCTCAAGCTAGCCGAAGTGCTTTACACTCTAGAGGAACACCATCTTGCTCGCAGTTATTATGCGCAGTCTTTGGAACTCAAAAGGTAATTCTATTTTGGCATCATCCTTTCCGGTAAAGCTCTCTCAGTATGGACAATTCAAGAGCCGCTCTCGGTATGATCCTCTGCACAACGGTGAGCAACGCGATTGCAGGTAGCCGGCTGCTGATAGGCATCTCAATCCCAGGCGATCCATAACAAGGGAAAGGGAAAGAGCGACGATTCGAACGTGCAGGAGCCACAGCAATGCTCCTGTTCGTCTAAAATTATGCAGGTGAAGCTGATGGAGATTGCTCGAGATCATCTCGTCGCCAGCTACGAATGCTGTCCAGGTGAGCTTCAATTCCCATTGATTTCCTTCTAACTCATTGATCCCTTCACTTTCATTCTGATGTGCAGGCGCTTCCAAAGGCCCGGAGCTTCGAGCGGTGCAAGCCTGGCTCACTTGAAGCCCCCGCGGCAGGCTGTCACTAACTAGAAACTAGCCGGACTAGACAGCGACTTGGGGTCACAGCGAGTCAAATAGATTTTTTATTGACTGAAAAAGAAGGGCAAACCGGAGCAAACAAAGGAGGGGGAGGATAAAGCCTACAAACCCGCCTCAATAAAATACTAGGGGCCCCGGTCCCGGACTGTGCTAAAATGATCCGATTAAAAATGGTGCCGGCGTGTCATGAAATGGGTGACATAGAAGGGGTTAGGACAAGAACTACGAAATGGGTCCTAGGAATTCCTTAGGAGGCACCGCCCTGGGTTTCAGTTGGGGCCATGGGCACATTTTGTGTCAATAGGTGAGTCCTGGTGAAGTCTTATCAGCCCTAGGACCTCCTAGGCCCCCTCGTTGAACTCTTTCTTGCTTCCTCCCCTCTGGTTTCCTTACCACCGTCCCTCCTGCGAAGCAACAGGTCACACCTCCTGCACCCTCCTCGTCCCTGCCCTCTCCTCGTCCCTCCTCGTCCCTGCCCTCTCCTCGTCCCTCCTCGTCCCTGCCCTCTCCTCGTCCCTCCTCGTCCCTGCCCTCTCCTCGTCCCTCCTCGTCCCTGCCCTCTCCTCGTCCCTCCTCGTCCCTGCCCTCTCCTGCACCCTCCTCGTCCCTGCCCTCTCCTCGTCCCTCCTCGTCCCTGCCCTCCCCTGCACCCTCCTCGTCCCTGCCCTCTCCTCGTCCCTCCTCGTCCCTGCCCTCTCCTCGTCCCTCCTCGTCCCTGCCCTCTCCTCGTCCCTCCTCGTCTTCACCCTTCCGGCGCCTCCCTCTTTACATTTCGTCCCTGATTGCGCTATCACAGCTATCAAATGACCAAGGATAGTTTCTTTGTTGCGCTGTTAGCGTTGCAGATGACTGCTCCATTTCTTGCCAGTATGGGCATGAGCACTGCAGCCAACGAGAAAATCTCTCATCAATCCATTCAAGCTGTTTACCGGAATCCTTCCTTTGGTCCTGAAACAATAGTTTCGTTGACAGGTCAGAGAAGGTATTCAGCATCGGACTATTGCCAAGGTTCTGTCCTTTACAACGAGTACTGGTACCAAACTTTGGATTTGGAAGCATCTGCAGATGGAGACCTTATCACCCAACAGAATGGAACTTTGAGCCTTCCTTCCTTGTGGTACATTGCGCCTGAGACAGCAGATACTCTCCAAGTCATCGCAGACCATACTTGGTCAACCCTCGGAATTGTTGTGGAAAATGGAAATATGTTCTATACGAGCAACTATTGGAGGGGCGTCGTCAAGGATCCTTTGAACCCTCCCGTTGCTGGAGGTAGAGTTGATCTTGCTCATTCAGCACTGTACACTGCAAATGGAGAGTATGATGTAAGTTATACAAACAGCAGAATTCTTTTGCAAACCCCTTGGGATACCTGCAGCACGTCGCAATGTTCTGCAGGGAATTATCTGCTGGGATCGACATGCCTTCCGTGTAACGCCGGGAACTTCTCAAGATTTTCAGGGCAGAGTTTCTGCTCCTCGTGCAGTGCAGGGACATATTCCACGAGTGGACAATCAAGTTGCAAGACTTGTGCAACAGGCTCCTACTCACGTGGCGGATCTTCGTCGTGTATGTCTTGTCCTCCTGGCAAGAAGCCTGATTGGTCTTGGTCGCGATGTGAGTCATGCCCTGGAGGCCAGTACCTGCCCAGTTGGTCGACAACTTGTGAAAGTTGCGGCGCAGGCAGGTACTCCTCATCGGGAGCTACTGTGTGCCTGACCTGCCCAGCTGGCACATTCTGGCCATATGAGGGAACCGGATGCCTGGCCTGCGATTATGGCACTTGGTCGCTAGCAGGGAGCTCTAGCTGTCAAGGATGCTCATCAGCCAGTTTCTCAAATCTTAAACCGTTGACTTGCAGCTGCCCTCCTGGAAACTCGTGGAGCATCGGGTCCACCAGCTGCACACCCTGTGCTGCAGGTAAATATTCCAACGGCACAGCTCCGTGCGAATATTGTCCTCCAGGACAATATTCACCAAACACATCCTCAACAAACTGCAGCGTGTGCGGAAATGGCACTTACTCTACTTGGTATGGTTCGACTCACTGCCAGACTTGTGCAAATAGCTCGCTGGAAGGGGCTACCTCATGTGATTCGACGGAACTATCGATAGACGATGTTTCAGGCTCTACTGCAAACACTCTGCTCGGCCTGCTTTCTCTTTGTGCAATTTTTCCAGCCTGCTATTTTGCCAAGAAGGCTAAGCAAACAGCGACAGGAAAAGTGATGGACGAGCATCTGAAAGGGAAGGTGGTGACGCAAAAGAATGCAGATGAAGAAGCTAGAATTGATTACAAGGTGAGCTCGAAAACAGCGAAAGCAGCGCCCAACAAACCGAAACAAGCCTTCATCAAGGTCGATACTGAGCCTAGTGACGACAGAAATATCGATCGGCTCCCTTTCGATATGTTTGAAATCGATAGGTCTTATTTTGAAGAAGGAAAGTTCAAAACCGTACGACGAGCGCAGTACAAAGACGATAGAGCGGTTGTTGCTGCAATCGTGAAACATCGGAGCGAAAAGTCAACACAACATTCATTACACAATGAGGTTCCCATGTACTCGGAGCTCGGAAAACATCCCAACGTTCTCGAATTCTACGGCATGACCATTGACGAAAATGGAGAGCTGTGTATGGTCATGGAATTTGCCCAAAGAGGATCCCTGAGAGGCCTTCTGTTGAAAATATCACTGGAGGGCTACAAGGTGGATGATCTTGTTTTGGTCTCAGCAGCAAAGCAAGTAAGCCAAGCCATGGCTTTCATAGCCAGGCGCGGACTCGTTCATCGCAACCTATCGGCACGGAATGTTTTTGTGTTTCAATTCGATCTTCAGGACCCCAGCCAAGTTCTGGTCAAGGTGGCTGACTTGTCAAACATGGCAGTGGAGTCGGATATGGAAGACGCGTCTGATGACTTCGGTTCCAACCAGGAATGGAACGTATGGATGGCTCCGGAGATGATCTCGAAAAGACTCTTCAGTGAGAAATCAGACGTGTGGGCATTTGGCGTTACCATGTGGGAGATGTGGTCATATGGCGAGCTGCCATACTCAGGCACGTCAGCTGACATACCCAGCATGATCATCAATGGCAACATCCTTCCACAGCCAAGTCAATGCCCTGGCATCATCTATGTCATCATGCAGGATTGTTGGCAATCATCGACCAGCAAGAGGCCATCCTTTCAAAAACTCGAAGAGAAACTGAAACAAGTCGAGCAACACGCCCAAGAGCAGATGCGGAAACTTTCTTCCTCGTCTGAGCAGAACTGCGTCACTGAAGAACACCAAGTGCAGAAGAAAGAAGCCGAGCCCAAGCCCCAGGACAAGCCCCAAGACAAGCCCCAGGACAAGCCCCAGGACAAGCCCCAGGACAAGCCCCAGGACAAGCCCCAGGACAAGCCTCAGGACAAGCCCCAGGACAAGCCCCAGGACAAGCCCCAGGACAAGCCCCAGGACAAGCCCCAGGACAAGCCCCAGGACAAGCCCCAGGACAAGCCCCAAGACAAGCCCCAGGACAAGCCCCAGGACAAGCCCCAGGACAAGCCCCAGGACAAGCCCCAGGACAAGCCCCAGGACAAGCCCCAGGACAAGCCCCAAGACAAGCCCCAGGATAAGCCCCAAGACAAGCCACAAGACAAGCCCCAGGAGGAGCCCCAGGAGGAGCCCAAACAGGAGGAGCCCCAGGAAAAGTCCAAGAAGCTCAAGTCCAAGAAGAAGCCTAAACCCCAGGACAAGCCTGCCGAAGCTAAGCCTTCGAGAACTGCTCGAAAGGACAAGAAACGTGCTGCTGATGATACCGAAGTTGTCACCAGACAAGAAAGTGATTCAAAGGCAAGCAAGCAAGAAAAGAAGGCAAAGAAAGCTTCGCAAAAGTCGAAGAAGGAGAAAGACCTTAAGAACTCTTCAGGTAAGAATGCTGAACAGAAAGCAGACAAGGATGATATAACGAAAAAGAAAAAAGGCAAGAAGGCAAGGGCGATGAATGAAGTCGCCACAACGCCTGCAGACTCATCAGTTGCGCAAGTCGAATCGGCAAAAGCCACAAGGAGAAGACGGTCGAATCGAACGGTGGTTTATGTCCAGATCACAAAGGAAAACTTAGAAGCATCGACAATGGAGGAGACTGAACCTGCTCTGTCTGCGGGAGAGCTTGCGATGAACGAAGCAGACAGGAAAGCGCAGGCTTTGAGGCACAAGCTTGATGCAATACAGAAGAAGAAAGAGGAAGAAGCAGCGAAGGCTCTTCCCAACGCAAACACGACCATGGAAGAGAAACCATCGATCGCCGAGGAAGGACAGCCGCTGCAAGATGTTGGAAACAATCCTGACGAAGAATCCCAAGAAAAACCTTGTGGTGACTTGCCCGAGAGTGAGGCGAGTGGAAATGCAAATCCCACGAAAGTTGAGGCAAGTACGAGTTTGATTGACGAAAAAGCCGATGAGATTTCTCTCGAGAGCGAAAAGCAGAATGATGCCGATGCTGATGAGGGCGAAGTTAATGAATCTGAACAAGAATCAGACGAGGACTCCTTGCCTTCGGAGTTTTCCTTCGACGATGATGAGGATGATGAGGATGAGGACGACGACGACGAGGATGAGGACGACGACGACGAGGATGAGGACGACGACGACGACGACGACGACGACGACGACGACGACGACGACGACGACGACGACGACCAGGACCAGGACCAGGACCAGGACCAGGACCAGGACCAGGACCAGGACCAGGACCAGGACCAGGACCAGGACCAGGACCAAGACAATAGTGAGAACTACGCCAAGGCGGACACTGACGCCAAGAAAACGGATCTTGGTGCTTGTTCAAATCTGTCAAGGAATCTTTCTAACTGTGATGTAGATGCAAACACTGTTGGAGGCGATGTTCAACAACAGGAGGACACGCAAGTCAACAAGGCTGACCAGACCGACCTTGAGCTGAAGGCAGGGAGTGAGAGCAAGCAGTAGAAAGCTTGAGCTTAAATGTTGGCTTTCAAGGTCCGGGAGTCGATTTTAAAGTTGCAGTCTCAGACGAAGATAACCGCAGTAAACAACTGTGACAGACAACTTCAGTGCTGTCACTCAGTCAGTGAGGCAAACTTGCTGAGCCACAGTCAGTGACTGGTGACCGGCGTACGACTGATCCGCGCCGGGGACCGCCGCTGAGCACGCGGCTGAGTCACGCGGCAGCCGCACTGACTGATCGGACCCGGTACCCGGAGTTACCCGGCGGCACATGATTCACATGATACACATCACTTCACTGCGCTCAGGACAATCCCGTCACTTCTATCCCCTGTCACGAGTCGCGGGCCCGGGGGAATTGAATGGTCCGACTCTCCCGATCAGGGCCTGCGCGCAGTTAAGTAAAGGTATCAGTTAGTAAGTTCCTCGACTCTCCTGATGGTCCTCGTACTGATTTTTAAGCTAACTTTGAGCATCGCTTCTATGCTAGCAAGTTATGCACATGTTGTACCTCATCATCATGATTTATTCCGAAGTTCTCTGCTTCCTTCTTGTTTCTTCCTCTACAAATATAACCAGTGCAGATCGATACTTGTGTATGTTCACACATTGATTGACGCTGGGCAGAAACCCTGAGAAATGACATCTCATGTCATTTTCAGTTTCATCAGACAGTATCAAAAGAGCTACATAATACTCATAACTTACACAATATACAAAGATAGTTGTAAAATTTTGATTCGACAATGATGGAATAAACGGAGGTTACAACCCGACATGTCGCAATCTTCTCTCGCCACTGAAACTTTCAAATTGACTCCAAATAGAAAGGCTCAAAGGAGACATAGAACAAAAAATCCAAGCAACAAAGAATTTATCAACGCAGACTATCAGAATCAAGGAGGTATTGAGCATTTCTGGCGCGCAACCTCTCTGGGGCTGGTATAGATGGTTTGGAGTCACCCGTCATTGCAAGAGTGTTTTTGCTTGGTTGGAGACGGAAAAGCAAGTCGCAAAATAGAGCGATGGCAAGAGAAACTGCCTTAGATATTAGCTTCGAAAAGTCTTCCTTAGTTGGTGCTGTTGTGCATCGGATCTTGTGATACCTTTACTCGCTTGCAGCAACATTACACAAAACAAGAAGCAGCTTGGTTTTCACACACTTATTTTGCAAAATCGGGCATCGAACAATTATCGAACAAATGTTGAATCTTTGATTGAATCACATTTCATCATGCCAATTCAAGAAGACTTGGCGCTCTTCTTCTTTTTGCTCTTGGCCTGCAGTTCTTGTCAACAAATCAGTCAGCGAAAGCAGTGATGAATACCTTTTCTTCATCAGGAGAACCTTGGTCATCTGACATCTTTTCAGCTTCCTTCTTTTCAGATTGTTTCGAGGATTTTTTGGTTGCCTTCGACGATTTTTCAGATGATTCTTTTGTAGCCTTGGAAGCTTTCGTTGCAGAACTCTTTTTGGCAACCTTTGCTGAATCTCCATCTGCAGGGATTTCCTTCGATTTGGCTGCTTTCTTCTCTTTTTTGCTCGGCTGCGCACTCGCTTCTTCGGATTTAGTTCTGTTCTCCAGGAATTTCGTGTTGTTCCTTTGTACAAGGCGGATATGAGTTGCAATCCATTTGTTTTCCTTAACAAGCTCCTTTGCTTTCACTTTCACGATGTCACCTGTCTGTCGAACATCTACTTAGTTGTTTGGACCTCATAAAACATTACTTACAAACAACGATTTCACACCAGCTTTCTCCCTCAAAGATTTTGAAATGAAAATCTTTCCATCGGCGAAAGAATAATTCTTTCCAGAGTTTGTAATCACGCATACTTGGGGAGGATGGATGATTCCGTCATCATCATTCATCTTATTTTCGTCTCCTTCACCGCCCCTCAAGCACATGACCTGAAGCAGCATGCGTGAGTTACAGTGTTGTCGCGGTTTGCACTAATACCCTAGACTGGATATGTTGAACCATTGAAAAGCGTAGGAATTCACTTTTACCAAGCTTCACTGGCAATATGGAGTCTCCAGCAGTCATTCCAATCGAGGGGCCGATGTTGGACAATGACAAGCTCAGTCCACCAGGGACATCGTGGAAAAGAATTGCACTGACTGTCAGGACCGGAGTCGTATACAAAAGAAAGGAAGAGATCAAAGATATGGACATGAGGATATGAAAGGAAACGGTGAAGGTGCCGCGAGGCTCACTCGATCCACCCCTCTGCGCTCGGATTCCTCATGACCTCCTGAGGATATGCAGCGGCGCATGGCGTGCAGTATGGTATGCGGCTCTAGCGGACCCCAGTGAATCTCCGAGTGTCAGGGGAAAATCATATGGTAGGGTGGTGGTATGTTGTCTCCTTATACTGAGCTCACCTCGGCGAGACCCTTACGGCAGCAAGTTCTGCTTACTAGCTTCACCCCCTCACTCAAGGAGGCATTGAAACCTCCGGCACTCGCGGTCAAAAAGAATTCTCATGGTGGATTCTACAAAGAATCCATTGCCCACGACCAGAGTCGAACTGGCGACCTTTCGCTTACAAGGCGAACGCATTAACCACTTTGCTACGAGGGCGATGACAGCAGGAGTTCCTCAATATATATATCCAACGCAGACAATTTGCGAACACAGGGTTGTTTTCATGTTGAACATTTTAATTAGACCTCGTCGACCTACTCTCTGCTGGTGTGTCCGGAAAGATATCTCTCAAGCTCCATGCTCGCGTTGACCTGGACCACAGTCACTACTGATTACGCAAACCTCTCCACTTAGGGAAGATGTGTACGAGATGATGACAAGCAGGAGATGGAATGAAGAAGGAGAGGACAGGAGGGGAGGGGAGGGGAGAGCAGAGGAGAGTGAGGCAATCCGGAAAGGGGAAGCACTATTGTAGTGGAACATGCCTGCCTGCCAGGTTGAGGGCTCGGAGATCTCCTGCATGGACCTGAAAATTGGTAAGAGGAGAAAGAAAGAAGGTCCTTGTAGACCTGCAAGCTCTCTCGCATAACTCTCCCTCCTCTGTTGAGCTTGTAGAAGTTGTTCTCTGCATCAATCTTAGCAAGGCAGCAAGCATGAAGGAGACTTACGATATCTGCTCATGCTGTTGACGAATAGCTGCAAGATTGATGTTTCCGCTCCTCGCAGATGACAGAGGATAATATGCATTCGACTCGCCTCTGTCCCTGATAAGCGTCACGACATGTAGAGGTCGTGACGTAGTCACCTGCTGAGAGTTGGAGCTGGAGAGGGTTGATGAGGGCGAGGAGGGTCGAGAGGTGTGCTCTCGTCACAGGGGGGAGGGGAGCTAGCGTTGGTTGCTTCCTGGGGGGGCATGAAACAGCTTCTTGCTCCTCTCAGCTGCTTCACTTCCTCCGACATGTCGCTGATTCTCCCCTGTCACTCGCGTCACTTTGACTTGCCGGCAGAAGCAGCAGGGGACCAGCAGGGCTTGCATCTCCTCTAAATGTGACTTGCGGATCGCAGAGATTTCTTCTTCTCGCTCCTGCATGTGGACGTGAGCCTGCCCATCGCCCAGCTCACTCCCTACCTCCTCCATCCGAGCGAGTTTCTCCCTTAGCCTGTCAACTTCAACCCGCAACTTCTTCTCATCCTGCCCATCACCCACTTCACGTCTCCCGCCCCCCTACCGCTCTCCCGTGCTACCTTCCTCCTCTCCTGCTGGCTAGCTTCAAGCTGATGCCGGTGAGCGTCATGCAGCCGTGCAATTTCCTCCTGTCCACTTGTAACTGCAAGCGTCTTCGACGCCTTCCCCTTGCCTGCCACGCTTGCTTCAACTGCTGCATCCCCTTCTCGTAGCTGCTCCGCTGAACGTCTAGCTCGGCCTGCACCGTTGTTAAGCCCCTCAATCTCTCAAGAACTCCATCACTTCGTGTCTTCTCAGCTCTTGCGCCATGGCCTCCTCGTGCCGCTCTCTTAATTTTTGGTTCTGTGGCCATATTCCATCTGTGAGGCGAAAGAAGGGGACGAAACAGGAGCAGGAGGGCTCAAGACGGCAGGGAAAGAAAATTGACCTGGATGGCCAGGTTGACACCCTCCTCTTGCGCTGCCTGTCGCTTCTTCTCTGCGACCGCATGCGCTAGATAGGTGTGAGCGAACAGGCAGCAAACGCGCGTGCAGACCTCTTCTCAAGTCTTCATTCGTCCTCGACTGCTAGGCAAGTGAGGAGACGGGAGATGGTTGAGGGTCAGGTCCACCTGTGCGATCACGAGCTCTTGCTGCAGTTGTTCGACTTGACTTTGGAGCTTCTCCTCTCTGAAGGGTGCACAAGCAAGAGCAGATCAAGGCGAGGAGGAGCACAGCAAGGTCGACCACCTCTCTTTCATCTCCCTTTCCTTGTCGCGAAGCTTCTCTGCTCTATCCTTTGCATGGTTCTGCCGTTCAGTCAGGCAGTGAAGAATGAAAAAAAGAGGATTGAAGAGCTTGCAAAGCATCAGGACACGAGGAGAGGGGAGGGGAGGGAAGGAGAGGGGAGGGGAGGGGAGGAGAGGAGTGCGACCTGCTTCATCAAGTTGATCTGCCGTTGGTACTCCCTCGATGCCGCCTGCATAGGAGGTTATCCCGTGTGTCTTATTCCTCCAGTCACCAGCTGCATTTCGCGGAGCCTCCCGGTGATGAGAGAATAGTTACGATCAAACACACTGGTTGCGAGCATGAGAGGGAGGGCATAGAGGACAAGGATGAGGAGAGACCGGCAGGCCTCCATGACGCAAGTCTTGAAGACCTTTCCTTGATACGACGACATCGACATGGGCGATGCCGCGACCTGACGCTCATCAGTTCCAAGAAGGTTGTGGAGCACAACAGGGACAAGAGCAGAAGGGTGGAGGGAGGGAAATGGACTGAAGGGGGAAGGAAAGTCACACAGCAGGGTGATTCTCCACTCTTGTCCCTGCCATCCTCTCCTCCGGCCCCACATTCCCCCAGTCTTTGGGCTTCTGAGTGTGTGTGTGTGTGTGTGTGTGTGTATGTGTGTGTGTGTGTGTGTGTGTGTGTGTGTGTGTGTGTGTGTGTCTGTCTGTCTCTCCTCCCGCTCCACGAACACGCGAACGAAAGTAGCACAATCAGGGGACGGAAGGGAACCAGTGACAGGGCCGGTGGTTCGTCGACAGACATGCAGGACATGAAGGTTTGCATCCTGTCGGCGATGTGCTCGAGGATGAACTGCAAGCCAAACACCATCTCCTTGTGATGCACCTCCTGCAAGGGAAAGGTGATCAGCAGAGAAAGTGAAAAGAAGCTGCGCAGGTCAGGACTGGAGAGACAAAGTGAGGAAGGAGGGGAAGGGAGACCTTGACGTCTTTCATGCACAGTTCAATCTCCTGTTCGAGTCTTTGGCCCTCCTCCAAAACTTGTCGCACCTGACGAGAGATGAGAGAAATAACAATCACAAGCATCGCAAACGTCTTCTCGCAAGGCGAGGCAACATGCGTTCGCCTTGCTCGTCATACTTGCCATCTCAGACCTGCAAACCACCATCCTCACAAAAATCATCACAACAAGACGAGGATGACTTGTATCCTGCAAGCTCCTCTCGTACGCGCCCAATTTGTCTGGCCTGTTCCTTGTCAAAAGATAATCAACGCACTTAAGGCCTCACAACTGAGATCTTACCTCTCGCAATTCGTGCAAGCTTTGTTCACGATCCTTGATCAACTTATCTTTTTGGTTGTTCTCGTCCTTGACAGTAGGTAAGATCTTAGGTATCCTAGATGTCGCCGCTTACCATCATCGCTGTTATTTTGTGCTGCAGAAGTTCCACGGTGTGTTTCAGTAGTTCTTCAGACTGCAAGCTTGTCATTGGCAATCAAGGTTGTCGTCTAAACACGTGAAAACTTCATCGACACCTCCTCAACCATCCTCTGATCTTTCAACAAATCGCAGAATTATCAACCTGAACTGCATTCAGCGCGAGCTGCAACGCACTCTCAAGCTCCGAGTTCGATTGTTGTAGCTCCTGAGACAAGAAGATCAGAGGGAAAGCACAAGGGTTGCGGAGCTCCTTCACCTCGATCATCTCGTGACTCAGGCGAATTTTCAATCTTAGATTCTCTCCGTCTTGCGTATCTTCTGGTATCTGGATCATTTCGTCTCCGGCCAAACAGTCGCCGTCCTCATCTTCTGCACGATCTCTGGAACATTGGATAAGCTCAGAGAAATCGAGCAAGGGTGCATCACATGGAAACTTTTTGGTGGTTGACAGCGCTGGGAGAAGTTTGGATAGCAGCATCGGTCTGCAAGCATCAGGCTGCCGAAGAAGCTCAACTACTTTGTCACCTGCTCGCGAACATCTCTGAGGGAGTCAACGTAGCTCAACCAGCATGCCGTCTTGCCTACATGCTTCATGCGATGCTTCACCTGTCAAAAAATCATTACCTCAGACCATCTCTCCCCTTGCTCCTCCTGCTCCCCTTGCACTGCCATGCTCCCTCGCTCACATTTCCATCCTCCTCCTTTACATGGTCGTCTAGCGCTTTAAGCGCTGCTTGTCTCTGCTCCCAGAACTTTTCTACATCGTTGTAGGGATCCGCATCCTCGTCGCGCTCGCTTCGGCGTGGCGTGCTTTGCCCTTCCGCAAGGATGGCGACGACCCTCGGGTCTGCACAATTCGTGAGAGAAGAGAGGTGAGGAAACAGACCGCAGGGAAGACCAGAGGGGGGGGAGACACTCCAGGGAGAGGCTCTGAACTCCCTGTAGCAAAGGGATGTCACAAGCAAGCAAGCGCTTCGATGATCTCACGTTTCTGCCATCCATCGAGAGCCGTGGGTGGCGGCGGAGAGAGATTGAGAGGCAAGAGCGTCTCTCATCATTATCCTCGCACTCTCTGATTCACGCCAGGAATTGCCAAGAAGATGTCTGGAGGAGAAGGGGAGAGTCTTGGAGCTATCCTCCGACGCATCGTAGACTTCATCGTGAGAACTTTCAGGGCAACGATTACGAACATCGTCGGCATGATCCGCTTCTAGCACATGCCCAGCTGCTTTACTTTCATCTCTTTGAGGTGCGGCACGACTGGCATCCTCGACGTGACACTGAGGAACAAGGATGGAGTGTTTCTCCCCCCCCTGGCGCTTTTCACTCTGCCATTCGATCTTTTTCTTGACGCTCTTGTGCTTTTGCTTGTACTCGTTCGTCTCGATAGTCTTTCTCTTGGGACTCCACGACTTGTCTTTGATTCCTCCAGCCAGCAGGTCAAGCTGCTTCTGAATGGCACTTGCTCTTTTGTTCTTCACCTTCTCCTCGCCGATGCGGTTCCAACACCCCGTATCAGCCTTCTTCTTTGTTTTTCCACTTCCCTTCTGGCTCATTGCTCTTAATTCATCACATTCAGCACGCACAAAAATCTCCTGGCAGGACACAACAGAGTCATGCAGTCATCATCTTCATGCTTCCACGCTCTCTGGCAGTCAAACCTGAACAGAAAATGTTTGAGAAAGCAAAGGCATATCGCTGAACCGATCCTGAACATCTAACCATTGTTATCACAACTGATACTCCTTCGGCTTCGCCTCTGATTCTGATCTCGCCTGCTCTCGTCTACTTCTGCTTTCTCCGTGCTGAGATTCTCCACTGAATTTCAACTTTTGAGATTCTTATCGCTACGTGTCGGTCTCTACCGGCTTGTGGTGTGGTCTCCTTTTCTCTCCTCGCATCCTCTTTGTCGCACAAGACGCCATGACTTCGATTGCTCTTCCCCTACCTCCCCTACCTCACAAGGCGTGCTGTGCCGCATTGTCGGGGGGGGGGGGGGGGGGGGGGGGGGTTATTGTCCATATCGTAATGTTTAGAGGGGTGATCTTGTTCTACTACCCCAAATTTGACATAGATTTGGGGGGTGATCAATGACCTTGTATGGGTAGTATTCCCTGATGGGTAGTACTGAGAGGGAGGGTGCACAATTTGAAAACTTGGTTGTGCTCCGATGGGATCAATTTTTTTCCAGAATACCGAGAACAGGAAGTCAAAGGTACATGCCTGCGATGAGAAGACGAGGAAGGCCATATTTGATATTTGTAACAACATGATGAAGGCCAAGATTGCTGCTACAACAACGAATGGAACCTCTGGTTGAGATGGAAACGTGTTCAAATTGTGATGACATCCTATTTTGCAACAATCTTTGGCTCCAGTGCATCTCGTCTGACAGTGGCATATCCGTCGGCCTCTGAAATGCCTGTGTGAAGGAAGGAGAAGTGTGCTGAGAGTTACCTTGCAGCATACATCACGATGAAGTTCGTGCTTCATAACGGTAATTGTCGGATTATCGTTTCTGGCAAACCCGCAGTGGGACGGTGGCCATCAACCCCAACGACGAAGGAACTCATTGGAATGGTTGTCGGTGTACATGAACAAGTTCAGAATCTACATAGGGTGCATCAGGCGCAAACAGACATTCTCGACGAGGCCGCACTTATGACTGAAAGTGAGGTTTGGAAAGCACGAAAATTGTGCCACCCATTCAACAAAAGATGCACTCAAACCAATATTCAATCGATCAGGTTTGAGATTTATTTTAATAAATTCACATGTCTTTAAGTTATGAAATGTTTTTGGGCTCCGAGGCTAGATGAACCCCAGGAACTTTTGGAACTCTACATGAAACAAAATGTCGGAACACAAGGGTGACAAAGAGGCGGCAAGTCCGTGCCAGCCAAGGCATGATGATGATGTCAAGATCAATGCGAGGCGATGGCCTTGGCGATGGCAAGCTCCTTGTTGGAGTGCTGTCCCCAAAAAATACACCTGGCACCCAGAGACTTGTTCTTCATGCAAGCCGCCTGAGCAGCTTCGACCTGCTTGTCAGCATGATGAATCTGCCACGAATATGTTCAGTCTTCACACATCATCGTGAGATAGACTCACAATGCGCTTCTTTTCATCCACTGTGAGGTGGTCAGGATCCTTCACCTCCATCCACTTGGGGAGGCCCTTGGCAGTAAGATCCAGTCCAGCAATCAACACACTAAACATACTGAAAAGGACCTGAATGAAAAACGTAAGACAAACGTGTAGAGAAATATACAGATATCCATTTCAATTCTATGCTTGAGTTACAAAAAAGTTCGAAAACGAATCCATAGCTTCATGCTTCCTCTCGACGCTTTTGGTTTGGACACATATACATCTGAACTGATAACAACACATATCATGTGTCTGTGTATCTCCCAAAATCTAGTAAACAAAAAAAATATCCCAGCTTGAACACAACCAAGACATATCTCCCCCAATCACATCAGTACTCCCGTTCCCATCTTTCTCATCCCATCTCGTCTACCAATATTACTGCAAGATTGTTGCAGCACCAGCAAGAACTTCTCGTGCATAAGCCATCATAGTCTATTTCTATCACCATCGCTCGCCTCCTTGCGTTCGCCTCCACCATCGTCCTAACTTGTTCTCTTTGCCATCCTCGCGTAGGTGATCCCTTTTACTAATCGACAACAGCCACCCCCACCCCTCAACACAACATGACCCACCCCATCCAAATGTACTCAATTTTATTAGCCCCACCCTCTCCAAAAAGTGCTTGCTCCTTTGAAAAGACCCGGTATTTCAAAAAGAATTTATCACCCACCCAGCTTCACCAATCATCTACCCTACTGGGTATACAACCCCGAGCCGAACACCCGAAATAGAGCGGCCGCTCACCACCAGCCTTTCCCATAGGAAGTTAACGGGTCGTTGACAAACTTGGTCATTCAGGCCAAAAAAGTTCCCTAGTTGTAGTTAGTTCCGGGCCGGCGGCCGGCCCGTGTAGCAGTAGCAGGTAATAATAGCAGGTGTGGCGAGCCACAAACTGTGAGGGGCCCGTCAGAGGAGTCCCTTGTCGGAAGCAAGCATGGCTTGCACATACTTCCGTCTAGATTGCTCTTGCTCAAGGGGCACAAATGTAAACAGCGGAGAGCATCTTCTTCTCTACTGCCGACAAGGGCCTTTCTGAAGCAGTTCCGTTTCCTGCGAGAGCAAGTGCTAGAGCATGGTGCTCTTGGCTGGATACAAGGCTCTCCAGGAACAGGGAAGACAACAACAACGCTTTCGTTTTGTATGACGCTGGATAGGAATGAGTGGAGCTTCAAATGCATCAGGCTGAAGGCCAAATACAACACCTTTGTCGTGGAGGTTTCAGGCAACAGGAGAAGAACATGCTCTGTCGCAAAGGAGTCTGAGGGGAAACAGATGACACTGTTGCTTGAAGGGTTGTCAGACGGCAAAAAGAGCCTCCTGGTACTCGATGGATTTGTCTTACCAAGAATCTCACAAGAGAGCTTTGGTAGCATGTGTAGGATGGCGGGAAGCCGACAGGCAAAATCGACGTCTTGTGGTGGTGAATGGCATCGGCGTTTCGAGGAAAGATCTACGAAGAACAGGATCGAGAGTTGGGGCTGAAGGAGCGCATAGTTCCATCATGGAGGATCGATGAATATCTAGAGGCAGTGCAGTTTGACGAGTTTTACAATCAGGTGGCTCCTTCCTTGGAGATGAATGTGACAGGAGAGATTTTGAGTCTCGAGATGACTACAGGGTCGAAATCGAAACAACAGCGAGTAAGGCATAAGCATTACCTAGCAGGTGGGTCATGTCGGTACATGTTCGACATGACTGCGGCGGAGGTCCTTCGGTGCTTGGATCTTGCGCTTGAAAGTGCTCCAAACTTACGAAAAACTTTTTCGGGGCCACGTAGGTGTTTCCTCGACGGATATCACGAATCGGCTGATTGCTGCTACAGTGACTCAGGAGAGGGTGGCCTGATTTCCTGTGCAAGTACGTGGCAAGCAATCTTGCGGCGTCCCGGGGAGCGGTTGACATATTGAGAAAAATGTGGACGTCCTGTAGTGGCCAGCGAGACTTATGTGGGCATCTTTTGGAGATGCTCTTTTTCGAGGAAGTGAGAAGAGACCTGAGCATAACTTACCGCGGGTCAAGTGAGCCTGAAGTTTTAAAAGCATGCAATTTCGTTGTAAACTTCGATTCGTCAGAACACACGGACTCTCTTCCCCACACGAGGGCGTGTCTTAAACCAATCAGTGAATTTCAAGGTGGCTACGACGCAATCATTGTAGATCAGGATGAGAAGGTCGTACAGTTTTTTCAGCTGACAGTGGCAAGGGATCACCCTCTCAAGCTCTGGTATTTTTTGACTGCTCTTGGGGCTCTGGGGATTCCTGAAGGTGGGACATGGACGATAAGGATTGTTTTTGTCGTCCCGCCGGAGAATGAGATGTTATCCCTGTCAAGGATGACGGGGCGCTAGAGCAGTATATGTGGAAGAAAGGGGAGGAACGGGCGATAGCCAGGTGGTGAGTATTGATTTCAATCGAGGGTACGTTCGTTAGTGGTGGGTCGCGAATGAAGATGCCAGGAATTGCTTAGACGGCTGAAGATGTCAAGGAAGCAAACCAGTCATTGCGTGCGCTGAGGCTGTGCCGTCATGCTCACGTACAAGGGGGGAAGTGGATAAATTTACTCGCAAAATACACAATCCAAATTCACCCATGATTCATTATTTTGAGTAAAACAGGCTATCACTGAAAACCATAACTTGATAGTAAAATGCGATCGCATCGCCCGCCTCGCCTTCGCTTTTCCTCTGAGCGATGGGGCCATCACGTCGTTGCGATGGAGTCATCTGACATGCATGTGAGACAGGTCGTGATGTTCCAATGCTCTAGCGCAACGATCAGGTGGGAAGGCAGGTTGGCCGAAGGCAGTCCATGGAGGAAGCGGTCGACCCCTCGTGCGAGGTGGATGGGGCACTGGTTGCAAAGGTGAATGTTGGTTGCCTCCATCAGAGAGACTGCAGGCGCCGCTGGTGGCTCTGAGTCTTCCGAAGCAGGGGCACAGGCTGACTCGCTGACTCAGTCGCCGGGTAGGTAGAGATGAGCCCGGGGGAGAGCTTCCTGAGCCGAGGATCAGGAAAAGTCTGAATCAACACTGACCCCCACCCACACAAGCGTGCGAGCCGGGCCGACTCGGAGACCCGGTCGGCGGCAGTTTGCTCTCGTCGGAGCTCAGCGGAGGGCCAGGTCAGTGACCGTGGTATCGGCAGTGCCGCCGCCGCGGCCCCGGCGGGGCGGGGCCCGGTCCGATCCCACGGTCACCCGGTGCCCACTGACTCTGCCTTCAGTGGTCCCCGTTTTTCATAGGCTCAGCGGTGGACATTCCCGGAGGCTCTCTCTTATTACCCCTCCTCTTCACATTGAATACACTGCCGCGCCCGCTGCACGCGGCGCAGGGGCCGCGGGCCTGAACACCGGGCCGGGATGACCGTACCAGGGCGGCGCCGGCCTCCCGGGCCCCCCCCCACGACCCGTGACCACCGGGGCCGCCCGCCCGGGCCCGGCGTGGGCCCGGCACTGCAGGCCCCATCCTGGGCGGAGCCCAAGGCGGCCCAGTGCCCGAACCGGACCCGGGGTTCCACTGCCGGGCCGGCCATGTTCAGAGGCTGTCCGAGTGTCCGCCGGGCCCGGGTGACTACGGTGGCGCCGCCGGGTGACGGTAGGACCGGGTGGCTCTTGCTGGCGGTAGCATCGCAAGTACCTGGCATACCCGAAGCAGCGTGCCCATGCCCCCGGTGCCGCCATGGCACATGCGGCACAGGCTCACGCTGCATGTGCCGTGAGCCATAAGCATCTTGGCAGTACCACCGTCAGCTCTCTGAGAAGCCGCAGTACCGCTAGAGAGTTGGACTTGAGGAGACGCTGATCAATTACAAGTGAAGAGGAGGATCCTGCAGTGTCAGGAGGAAGAACTGGCAGGCCAAAAAGACTTCCGCTGGAAATGCTCCCGGGAATCATTCGCCAAGGAAAGAATTCGCACGAGAAGGCATGGAAGTTGAGAGAAAGGAACTGGTAAAAGGGAAAGTCGCAGCATAACAGAAATTGAGGGCAACTTTGAGATGTATTAGAAGTAGGAAGGCGTTCCTGCGGCGATGTTCAATGTCATTAGATGATTCAAACCATCTCAGGCAGGAAGCCCTTGTATGTTACATTGTGAACATTTTTGATCAAAACGATTTTATCCAAAACATCTTATTCAACGCAATTTTTGCAAAGCTCGATGATCGTCAAATCTTGATCCTATTTTTGCAGGCGCCGTAGTCTTTGCGGAATTTCATAGAAAAACTATGCAGTTATTTATCAAATCCGGAATGTCCAACACTTTCCCGATTGTCATTGACAATGCTTTGAAGGCAATAAACCTTCACAATTTGTTGTTGCACTGAATTCTTCTAATTGTTTGTATAGGTGATAGACTTGAGAGAAAAGATAGGGCTATCTTTGAACATACAGAACAATGTGTTCAACCTTCTTTATGGAGGAAAGGTGCTTGAAAACAAAACAATTTTGCAAGAAACGCCGTTGTCGAATGGAAGCTCAATTTACGTTTCATTCAAGCTACTTGGTGGAGCAGCGGCAAGAGCCAAGGTAAGGAGCTTGTTCTCCTAGCTGCTTGCCTTGCGGCTTGCGGAGGATCATCGTCACTTTGATGCACTGTACAGGCAGAAGCAGAAGCCCGCGCTCAGATGGAGGAGGCCGCTAAAGAATTTCAGGTCCATCCTTGTCTTTGGCGCTGATCCTGACGACGACTCGCAGTCTTGGTTTGTTGAAGCTGACCAGACAGAGACCACGGGTGTGATGCGATTGGTATGCAGTCCTTTCAGTTGTCTTTCCGATTGACCTGCTGCAGTTATGCGTCAGCATGACGCTGGAGAAAGATAAAGTTGCGATCCAAGGGAGTCCCGAGTCTTGGAACGGAAGGTGACGTGATACCAGCAGAGAAGACACGCCGTGATGCTTGCACCAGGAAGAATCTAGAAGATGACCCCGAGGGCTTCAATCCCGACGCTCCCTCTCCTTACGCCTCTGAGCCCGATGTCGAGACGTACAACGAAGAATGGGGCACTGGATACGCGCACCAGAATCGGTTCAATCAAAAGTTTGGTATAACAGATCTTGATGTGTGAGCTCAAAGTCTGAGATGGCCACACAGACGAGCTGTTCAAAGAATTTGTAGAAGAATACTGGCAGTACTTGAAACAAACGAGAGAGCAAGTGATTCAATCATCAGAGTTTCTACTTCGTATTTGATTTCAATGCCAGGAAGAGGAAGGGAAAAATATATACAATCTAAAAACAAATGTATGTGAACTTCTTGACTCGACCTAGGTTGCGTTTGATGGTGTTTTTAGGAAGAAACGATCCAAGTAAGGCTTGAAAAGGCAGATGGTGAAGATGGCATTTGGTACAAGGGCCCCAAAAAGGTTTGTCAAATGATGATGTATTGAACCGTGATTCAACTGGGATGCCGATAGATTGTGGCGCTATCGAATTCAGAAGTTATTTGGGATTTTGAAAAGGAGGTCTCGCAATCTTGCAACCAGTGTCGATGGCTCAGCTGATTCTCGTGCGATCACAGGCTTCCAACAGAAAGCTGTGGTCGGAGGAACACAAAGTTTTGAAACAACCTTGGAGAATAGTCGGACAGGTTGTCAGACACCCTGCAACTCTCTGAGACTCTGAGGGCTCGATACAGTACGCAAACCTTGAGCGATGGTTCTTCGAAGGAATCGGGACCACCACCTACACGTTGAACTCTCAGAACCAGCTCGTCCTCTGGTCTCAGCAGGACACCGATGGTCCCATGAGCTTGACGGACAGGTGCTGTTGAGTGTCAGATCCTCATGAGCTGATTGAACGAAAGGGAGAGGATGAGGCTGCGGCAACAGTCACAGATAGCAGCCAAGGAAGCCAAGGGCAAGGCGCTGGAGTACGAAGAGCAGCAGTTGGTGGGCCCTCAGCTTAGCTTCTCCTTGTTTGATCGATGAGTCAGATGAATGAAGTAGCGAGGATGGTCGAGGTTGGGCCCTGTCACGACCCTTCCAATGGCATCTTTCAGTTCGACGTGCAGCTGGGGGTTGCCATCACCCTGACCTTCCTTGTAGGTGGAGAATCAAATCTCTCAAGGCACAGCTGCTCCACAAGGTCATTGCGCCCTCACCTGCCCCCACGACGCTGACAGATGGCTCCAGGCGATCTTCTGGACAAACACTGAGAAGAAGGTTGTGTGCGTCAACCCTGCATGATCCCCCTCTTATCAACGCCGCGCCAGCTCCCTGGAGGCTCAGTCGCCGACAAAATGACGACAGAGAAAAACCCGACGGGAGAAGGAAACGAACTGATCGAGTGAGTTGGTCTCAGCACTTGGAACGACTGACCAAGTCTCAGATTTTGGAAGTATGAAAAGAAGATTGGTTCGATAAGAAAGAAATATGTGATGGAAGACAGGTTATGATAAAAACGAGCATGATGTGCTTTTGTTTTCTCAGCTTGTACTGGCAGGCAAAGGCTCATGGATCAGATTGAAATCTTCACTCCAACCTACAAGGCTGTGATTAAGAACGAAGGAAGTGGGCCGAGCGATGACGGTGCGGGCTTGAGTCCTCTCGATTCTATTTCGACGCTTGAAATGCAGGAGGAGGAGATCATTACATGACCATGGAGAATCAGAGAAAGATCACCAACATCGTTGCCTTGGCTCTTGACATGTCAGACTCTCATGCATGCGTTTCCGGCTTCGCTCACTGGCTTGCTCAGGCACATGCCCGACTATGACGAGGACAGGATCGCCTGTTTCATCAAGACGCTGCTCGAGAGGCGTATCGGACCAACATGGCACGTTCTTGTAGGGAGATCTTTTGGGTTCTCAATCCAGTGCGAGGCCAGACATTTCCTGTGAGCAACCTACCTGACATGGTTTGTTCCTGACTGACAGCCGGCCCCAGCCATCTGTACATGCAGCACCTCGGAGTCGTGATATGGAAATCAGAACCAGACCCGAACGCAGGGAAGAAGAAGATAGAAGGAGGAGTGCAGGCTGAAGGATAGAGCCGATTCTTGCTTGACGGCCTTTGCTTTCTCTCCCGATACCGTACCGAACTACATCCATTACAAACTCGAGAAGATTACATGGATACACATGTCACGGGGGGGGGGCGGTGATAGTCGGAATAATCTCCCTCCTCCTTTCCTTTCCTTCCACTCCCACAAGCTCTCTCTCTGTCTCTCTCTGTCTCTCTATCTGCCTTCCTTCCTTCTTTCCTTCCTTCTTGTCTGTCTGCCATGTTCTGTCCGTCCGTCCGTCTGTCGGCACACTCACCTTCTGTGCCACTTCCCCACAGGCGGCTGAATCCCTCCCGCGCTGAGATTATTGGCAGGACCCGATGTCCTACGAAAATTTACTTCGGATGATTAGCCGGATCGCGGTTTTGAGATGGAGATGCTCGAGGCAAGGGCAAGCAAGACGTGAAAACCACCAGCTCCTCCTCCTCCTCCTCCCGCATGTCCTCGTCCTGCTACCTCTTCGCTCTCCTTCTCCTTGTGCTGTTTCCTGTTCTCTCCGTCTCTCGTCAAGCAGGTGACAACGTCGCCTTTAAACCTCAGATCTTACGGTGTGGGTACAGCAGGAGACGGAGGAGACGGAGAGGTAGAGGTCCTGTCCCAAATGCGCTATGGAGCATGTGCGCAGGCACTGGCCATACAGACGGGAGAGATGAGGTAGTGCTGGAGCAAGTGAAACTTGTGTGAAGAAAGACGACAGGAAAGAGATGATGCGAGTGGCTGAGATGCTAGAGAAGAAGACAACTAAGGTGACAACTACCATGATGAATATTATGATGCCGACAAATGGAGATGACGGAGATGGAGATGGAGACGGCGATGATTGAGATGATTGAGATGCTAAGGAGAATGATCAGTGATGCAGATATCCGACCTTATCAAGTCCGAGAGCTTCGTGAAGGACATGACTGAGATTGTAACGCATGCGGTCCCCTGATATCCAATGACATTCAACGAGGTTGAATTGATCAAGACTCGCAACGAGGAGGTTCTAGAGTGCTTCGATAGGAACCTCCTGGTATTATCAGGAGGACGAGAAGGTCGATAGGGAGAGTCAGGGTTGAGGGAAGGAGGAGGAGGAGAGAGAGAGTGGGGGAAGGGAGAGAAGGGAGTGACGAAGGGAATGATGGAGGGAGGAGGAGGGCTCAGCAACTGATATACTTTGATTAGGTCCTCCAAGAACTCCTTCGTCCGTTTGAAGAGCATTGGGATGCCTGCATGCAGGAGGAAGAAACCTGCAAT